GCCTATCCTGGGATCACAGATAGTAAAGTGGAGGAGAATGGAATTGAAAGTGATAAAATAAAATGTATGCCTTGGAAATTAAACTTAATTAATAGGCAAAATAATGGCCTATTCCACTCTTTGCCCTTTTTGGAATCTTCATGTAAAAGAAGCTGGGGGTGCAGTGAAAGCACCAAGGCAGAGGACAGGTTAACCAGATGGAGCAATCTTTACTAGCATGGCTGCCACTCCACACCCCACTATTTCCTGAGAGTCCAGAATTTGCAATGACACTACTAGAATTTCACCATCCCCAACATGAAAAAAGTCTGGCAGAGAAAGGGAACCAGTGACATTACCAGCTCCACTGGCAATAGCTAAATAATACCCGACATGTGATACTTAGATTCCTACCCTCACCCTTGTTTTTATATGTGTTGCTTTCTCTTCCTGCTTCCTCCTTCTTCCTGTCATTCTTTTTGTCTTCTGTTTAATGGGAGTCCACTTTATCTAGCCAAACTCTTTCTTTGACTACCATGCTGGAGACGTAGCAAGGTCATGTCCTGAACAGCCTAATGCTGGTACAGGCTTGCCAGCTGTTGGAATGGTTGAGAAAACCATGTACTGTGTTTGCATTTTTCTAGTAGTAAGATTGCAACTAAGAGTCATCAACAGTGGCAGAAACTGTAATTTCTTCCATTGCTGTTCTTTTCTCTCCTATATTGTATGTCTTTTTCTTGTTTTATGTTGAAGAAAAAGGGATCAGAGTTTAACAGCAGCAACAATACAGCTTCGGCACATCTCCACTCACTCTTTTCCTTAATAACAAGGATTGTTATTACCATATTTAACACCATATAAAAGACTGAGGTTTTCCTTAAACTTTCCATTATTAAAAGGAAAGAGATTAAGGGATACCATTTTAATGAAAACCGTTACTTAATACTTTGCATATCAAAAGCTTTAACATCTTTTGTTCTTTATAGAGGTAGAGATAGAGATCTCTATCATTAATAAAAAATTCAAAAGGATCACTTTTAATGCTCGCTGTTGCCACAGGACAAGGTAGGCTAAGGTCCCTCTTTGAGGCACTGTAGAGGGACAATCATGTTGACATCTTTATCTATTTTGTACCATTCATGCCCTCAAAATTTATCCACCAAGCCATCAATATTCATTATGGAATTTTATTTCTTCTTTGTAGCTCACCTTTAAGTTAGAATGCAAACAAAGATATATTAAACTGCTTGCTTGTATGTATTTTCTAGACTTGCCTGTTTTGTAGCTCTCTCTCATAGAATCACAGAAAATGAGGATTGGAAGGGACCTCAGGAGGTCATCTAGTCCAACCCACTGCTCAAAGCCATCCCCATGGACCATCCCCAACTAGATCATCCCAGCCAAGGCTTTATGTATCTGGGTTTTAAAAACCTTCAAGGATAGAGATTCCACAACCTCTCCAGTGTTTTACTACCCCCCTAGTGAGAATTTTTTTCCTAATATCTAACCTAAACTTCCCTTGCTGCAACTTGAACCATTGCCCCTTGTTCTGTCACCACTGAGCTGTCTAAGACTAGGGACAGACATTCAAAGCCTGAGCCTGAATTAATTCAATCTTTGCAGGTTAGTCTAACCCTGGCTAGGCTAAATCAGTTTGTAACTCAGACAGACATCCCAGAAATGCAGGTACATACCTGCAGAGGCTCAGGCTAGAAGCCAGGGGGCGCGAGAGCAGCCCTCCTGTCCCTTGCACAAGGCAGAGCTGAGGGGGGCGTGGCCAGGCCCTAGCAGGATGCTCTGATTATTCCCCCCTCCCCACTCAGCTGCCCAGCAGGGAATGTTTATCAACCCTAACTCAGTGTTTATCAACTCATTAAGAAAATGAAGCCTCTCTCCATTAACTAATGGAGCTCTTCTTAAACAGCTGTTCCAAGGAAGAACATTAAACTACCTGATGATTAGCTCCAAAAAGCCTGCCTGTCTTTGTCATCTCCCACAGCATGGACTGTAGCCAGCATATGGTCTGCTACCTAATGCTGAGGTGTCTGCATAAAATAGAGGGGAGGGGGGAATAATCCCGGTTTAGCAGAGAGAAGCCAGGCAGAGACTCTGTGCCTGCAAGTCTGTGTCAAGCTCCAGCCAGGGAGCAGAGGGAAGGGGCCAGCCCTGCAGTAGAGAGCCCTGCCCAGCCCAGAAAGCATGCCGGGATGCTGGGGGTGTCTAGTTTATCTTAAACCAGCAAAGGGTCTGGGACAGATATTGCAAAAAAACAGTTGGACCCAAATCAGCTAAGTAAGTCTGATACTACATTCAACTGGGTTTATCTCAAACCGGTTTCAGCCATTTTCAAACTGGTTTATGTGCACTGAACATCTGTTCTGTTACAGGTTTAAACCAGTTTCTGATCACTTAAACCATTTTGTGCGTAATGTCTGTCCCTAGCCTAAGGCTATTACAGCAAATTCATAAGAGACTACATTTGTGGGCTGAAAAAGAACATCCTTGAGAAAAATATAGCAGTTAAACTAGAAATATTGATTCAGCTTTAACAATGGTGGCTTAAATGCTACTAAAATAATGCAGTATTTTTAAAGTGTTCATTACTAGAGTGATGACTGAAGTCTATGTCTGAGCCAGAGAGAAACTCAGAAAGATAATTTAACTCCCAATGTAGATTTTATATGTCATTTTTAGTGTGATAAAAGTTTTTTGGCTCATTTCCTATATAATCAGGCAGACAGTTATCCTTTTGTAAAGACATGTCTTTAAAGGAACAAGAGAAGCTCAAATGTAGATAACTTGAGTTAATTTTGCAGTGAAGAAATACCTTGAGCCAGAAAATCTGCTATTTTTCTTAAGACAACTAGCATCAGTCCGATGTTTTAAAATCTTTTTTTTAAATAAAAAGCTATTCATTTATATTCTCCCATCCTTCCATTAAATTTAATCAGGTGATGTCACAAATATGCTTGTATATGCTGTCTGTTCTCTAGAAGTATTCCTCTCCCAATTCTCTAAAGCAGTGTTCTGCATTAACAAGGTAATCCTACATGCAGGATATCTGCTATCTCTTACTATTCTTTAGGATCAGGTGCCTCAAGACTCAGCAGGGATCCCCTGGTGTTCAAACCCCTCTAGCCTGCAGCTCATTCTCCAACACTTTCACATATTAATCTAATGCAAACATTGCTTCCAATTAGAGAGTTTCAGATAGACATGCCCTTTTTGAGTGCTTTCTCTGTTGGCTGTCACTCACACATTATAAAACATTCTCCGTGCCACTTCTAAAAGTGTTCATTTAAGCAAAAGATTAGAGTACTCATATGATTTTATTTTTCCTTGAAAAGATTCCAGCAGATCCTGAATCAAGATGTCTTTTTAACCAATATGTTTTAAGCTGTGTCTTTACAAAAAGATAATTGACATACCTTTCTGTTCTATTCTTTTAACATTTTTTTATATTTCTTACAATGCCCAAACAATGTAATATTCATCTCTTTAGAAACTACATAAAAACGTGCCACTAAAGGTCTGGACACGTAACACGTTAGCATTGGTTTTATACTAAGAAAAGTTGCAGTGATATTCCAAACAGACTGATGACAGCCTCTTTAGGGTGAGCTACCACAGTACCTGCTATTACAGAGACAGATCCGAAGGCAATGAGGGAGTCAAAAATAGCATGGTCGCTATTCTGGAATAGAAGTGGACATATGATTATTCACACTGGTGCAGTTTTACCTCTGATTTTAGCCAGAGTAACTCTCCAATGGATTGTAGCAATTTATACAAGCATAAGATTATATGGCTGTCTCTCCTCCTCATTAGTATGAGTGTAAAAAAAGTGCCTTTTGTCGAGGCTTTAAGAGCCAGATTTTGATCTGTAAATCCAGGGTAATTCCACTGTCTTTTAACAGAGTTATCCCAGTCCAACAGAGAAAAGAAAATGCTCCAAATATTAAAGCAAAACCTTAAAAGACATTACACTTCTTAAGTATTCAGTGAAAGTGCTGGATGTTCTCATAATATCAGTCCTTTATCACCCTTTTCCCTTCAAAGTACAAGTACTATATATCTGAAAATTGGACTGGAAACCAATGAGAAATCAAAGAAAAGGTAAATTCCCATAACTGACAAGTGGCTGGCAATGAAACAAGATTCTAGTTATGATCAGTACCAAGTGGGAATCCAAGATATGTAATATACTGGCCCTGAACTACATTGAAGAATATGATCCCTATTATGGTTTTGATAACATGTTAATTAACGGTAACTTTAAAATTTAACAGTGGGCTGAACGTAGCAGGTTATTATTGGGGTAAAGGGAGACATCAACAGAATAATATTAGGATTACCTTTGGATGCTCAGCATGCCCCAACTACAGTAATCATATCTCAGAGTACAGAAATAGCCCGTGAGTATTGTAATAAATGCACTTCCAGAGAGCACAAAATAGTAATGAACGTGGTCAAGTGTGCTTTACAATATCATCTAAAATAAAGCCATGCATGTAATGTACTCTGTGCAATTACTATACTGGAATGTCACATTAATTACCATGCTGTACACAGAAAGATAACTTCCAAAAATACTCTTATCTGCATTCTGCCATTTTTGAGTTCCTGGCGGGAGCCTTTACAGTGCATGGGTATGGAAAATTGACAGATTCTGCACATTTGGTGCCCTTTTCATGATGTTTGCTACATTCAGCAGAATATAAGATTTCAGATTTAAAATATGTTTCCCAGCTCATCCCACTGTATAAATCAATGTATTAAATCAGCCTAGCAGAAAGCCAAGAGCAGGCAGACAGAAAATGTGCTTATTCTAAATTTTAAAAAAAGATGGTGAGCTGTTTTCTTACAAAACGTAATGGTGAATAAACATTTAAATATTGGGTTACTCACCAGAGCATAAGCCACATGTCATGTATCCCAAGGGTAAGGGAAAAAAACAATGGAAAAGAAAAAGCTTATTAACAGATTTGATACTTAAAAAAAGAAAGCACTGACAGACTGTATTTCAATAAGAAGTGCAACTATTAAACTGACAAAAATATATAGTTCTGGAAATGGGGAAAAAAGGCCATTTTAGAAAAAGCAATGAGACACTAATTCCAAGTATATGCCTGCATTTTAGTGACTGATGTAAAGAGCTTATTCCTTCTTTGTGGGTGTGGTGCAGCAGACTGCACACTGAAAAGGAGAGAAATTAATTGTTCATTTATTTGACTTCTTCCTTCTTTGCTTATGTTCACAGTTCTGTGTGTGTGCACACGTGTACACAGACACAAGTGTGGTATACTTTTGAGAATATTCTCCTTACTCGTGGGATTTATCTATCCCTGTTTGTCCTTCTGGTTTATCATCCTCTCAAGGCTTCTCAAGGAGAATAATCTAAAATACAAAGGAAAAAAAGATTACCAAAGAAGGTATCAGAACATGTTATGTATTATGGGTAGGACAGAGAGGAAATAGTGATTCATTATCAAATATCATAATGAATAGGAGCACCAATTTATAAATTCAAGGTAACCCAGTTTCCTTATTTCCCATAAAGTTACATGACTACTTTAAACTATGGATTTATTACTGTTGGTGTCTGATAGGCAACCTTGTCAAAGGAAAACTAATGTTCTCTGAAGGATGCTAGAAAATCTTGATGCCAACTAGTGGGCTGTAAAAAAACAATAATAAAGAGAACAGGGCCTGAAATGGAGAGCAAATAAAATCTGAAAAATTGAATGCCTCTATGAATGGTATCAATAAGTAAAATCCAATGGCAGCAGGACATACAAAATATTTAAGACCACAGAGAAGAAAGACAGAATTGTGTTTCGGAATTTGAACACACAAAATAAAGCACGTGGATGAGGCAGGTTGCTTCTCATCTACCTAATTATGTTTTATTACTTACCCTCCTTTATTTTGAGAGATGCTGAGGCTAAATATTCTGTTTTTAAATAGAATAGTTGGAGATGTCTCCTCCGGTATCTCTAAACCAATAACCGTGAATACTGGGGACAGTAATGAGAAGGAGATAAATTGCTCTGGAGCTATACAGTTCAATGCTCTCCCTCTAAAGCATCCACTTCTACCACTATTGAAGACAGGCCTATTCAATGTGCCATCATGGACTCCCATAAGCCTCCCTTAATAAGGGAGGCCAATGGGGACAGATCAAATGATTGCTTGGGACAAATAAAAAGAAAACAGGAATGGGAGTGAGGGTTATAGGTTCAAAACAAGGGATCCAGAAAGGGATACCAAGCAGAGCACACCACCAGTGCCCACTGGCTCCTGAATGAGTTGAGGGAGCATGTGGACATTGAATATTGTAGATAGGCCTATTTGCTCCCCAGGTACCCTGGGCCAATGCCCACAAGGGAACACTATAAGCCTTCCTCGGAAAGGGAGGCCACTAGATAGGCAACAACAGAATGCTTAGGACAACAAAAGACAAAACAGGGATGGGAGTGAGGGTCAGAGGTTTAAAACTAGTGTGCCAAGGGGCGACACCAAGCAGAGCACACCAGATAGTGCCTAATAGCCCCTGAATGAGTCAAGGGAGTTTGTGGTCACTTACTCTTAAGGACAGGATACTGGGCTAGATAGACTATTGATCTGACCCAGTATGGCACTTCTTATGTTCTTGTGACTGGTCAGTGATGAGTAAGCAATAAAGTCTTTGGACCCAATATTCATTTACAGTAACAGCCTTTTCCACCAACCCTAGCAGTATAAAGGGGGTTTACGGTACATAGGAATTAGTCCCAGAGACAATATAGATTCAGTCTTCGTAACTAAGGGGAGGAGTGATCAAAGGAACAATTTTCAATATAGCATTTAAAATAACTTCAATAATGATATCTTGAGAAACAAATGGAATTACTAAGAAATAAAATTAATACATCCATGTCAAAGCATCAACTCCTACTCAACAGGTGAGGGAGAGAACAGACACAAAGGTGCCAAAGGGGCAGTGCTGTGGCATCCTTTCCCAAGTCTGTGGAATTTCTTTAATAAGAAAATATTAGCCAAGGAAGAGAGCAGTCACTACACTGTGGTCTTGGCCCTAACCACATAGCTATTCCTCTCACACATCAATGCTGGCTAGGTCAAACATTATCTTAGTGAATTGTCCCTCTAGAGCATGCCAAAGCCCTCCAACAATTTTGTAAGCCTTATGACTTTGGGGGCTTTTTATTTTGTTATTTTTACAGCTTCTCAAAGCTTCCTGGTGCCTGGCTGCTTTCTTCATGAACTTTGGCTACATCTCATTATTTCCAAGAGGACAGAAATTAGGTGAATAATGAGTTCTATGTTAAGGAAACTTCTCAGAAGAAGGACAAAGGGAAGCACACAGAATCTAGGGGGCATTTGGAAGAGGATGTCAGATATTATATAAGGGATATTTAAAGGATACAAAAAGGATGACTGACTGAAACAGGGCAATAAGCAGGGAGGAGAACAAAGAGAATGGCACTAGCTAAACAAGACTGTGGGACAGAATGGAAAATAAGGGAGACTGAGGAAAACAAGGAAGGAGAAAGCAAGGGAGTAGAAAAATTTGGAAGAGTATGAGTGAGACAGAAGACTCAGTGGAGCAGGGAGAGGAGAGATAGGTAATGAGATAGGGAAA